AGAGCGGTTGGAACAGGGCTGGGGTGGTCAAGTCTTTTTGTCTCAGTTAAAAGCTGGAGTGCTACACTGGAGTGTAACACTGATGAAATACAAGTGTAGATAAAGTTTTCTTCCCAAAATGTTTGGAGTTAATTTAAAGGAGGCCAGAGTGACATTAGTCAACTGTTTACAGAAAACAGAATTACTAATGTCCCACTCAGAGAGCCCATAAATATGGTGATAAATCAGCACCAACAGCAGTTGTACAGCCCATAGGAGCTCGTGGCACATGTTGAGCAAATATCTTTCAACACTGTCGCTGCCATTATTACATTGTTTAATGTGTTTTGGTTTCCACTGCTTTTGAGAATATGTTAATAAAAGCTGCAGTCAATTCATATCTGATAAACGTGTGCTAACATCAAGCTAAAGGAAATGCTCATATATGGGTCACAAATGTTCCACAACAGGCCTGAATAAACAAAAGAACCTCCCGCATAATGAAGGCTTTAAATTAAAGGAACACTGCATGTAATCCATTAGTGCAAAAATAATTAAGATGAAAAAAAAACCCATCTTGATATGAGAACATCTATTAAAGGTAGATTCTCCTCAATTTATTTGGAAAAAAAAAAAACACTTTAATATTAAATTTCTCTGAAGACGGGGCCGGGGTGTTTGGTAGGATTTAGTTAGTAACTAAAGTTTAAAGTTTTAGTATTTAGTCTTTTTTGTCACCAATTTGTTACTTACAAAAACTACCATTCACACTGCTCCGTTTGTGCACCTGTATATGAATAATACACACTGGTGGGGTTGGCTCCCCATGAATAATAGAACAGTCGGTAAGAGAAAAACAGAAGGCTGGAAACTCACACACTCTTCTTGTCTGTAGTTAAGTAATGAAAGCACACACTGAGACTCTTTATGTTATTGGATATTACTTTGTAACATCGTTTTTTCATATAACCATGAAGGATTACTTTGTTCAGGTGTGAAAACTTTAGTTTTCACTCTAACTGCAACTTCAATTTCAGGGAGGATGCTGAAGCTCCAAAGGCCAAACTGGTGAAGCCCAACTCCCTCTCCTCGTCCCGCTCCAACAGCTCACGCTCAGGCACCTCCTCCACTCAGTCTATGGTTCACAACATGGGACCCCGGGTCCAAAGAAGTGGCGTTCCGGCAGTGGCGGCCCTCAAGGAAGACTGCCAAGCCTCGACTTATCCTCAGTCTCCACCTGCCTACACTCAGACAGTCCCCAAGACTCCTGAACCGCGTCCTACTCCAGCCATTACTTCCAACTCCAAGCCCAGCCCTCCGCCCAAACTTAGCCCAGCAAACCTGCAGCGCATGGGGGCCACGCCTGTTATGATCCCTGCCCAAACCAAGGCTTTCCAGACTGTGTAGGAGAGACGCTGTTAAAACTTTAATTCCACAGAAGAAAAGACAAACGCAGCCTCAGGACATTGCAACCACCAGAATCCCAATTTCAAATCCTCTTCTATAATAACCGTAGTTTTCGTTTCTCCGTGCTCACAGTCTACACCAAATAAACTCACTGAATGAAAGGCTTGGTCTGCCACGTGTAGACACCTCTGAGCAAAGCAGTGGATTCAAAAGGACAAATTGGTGCAGAATGTGAAGCAGCTGGTTAATACTTAATGGAGACGACGGAGCGAGTGATTCACATACAGTACACAGAGTAAAATGTAAAAATGGAGGACCCTTAGTTTTCCATGGTACAATCAAATAATCTAGAACTCCTTCTTACCACAAAAACAACCTTCACTCTTGATATCAAACCAACACCTGTGGCTGAACTGGTGAAAACCTGACTGGAGGTTATCTCAGAAGGAGGAAAGTAGGATAATTACAAGACTATGCAGACACATCACGGGTCCATCAGCACTGACGTCACATGCTGAACACCTACAGTGTGTCTCTTCTTCGACACGTTCACGTGGAGATGTCGTGCAAAAGTTCCTATTTTCGGTCATGCAGAAGCGGACTCGTCGTGGACATTTTATTTTTGGGAAGCTCTGCGGTGCTCAGTGTGCAGAAATATTATATAATCATTCACGTTATCAATGGGGACGTCAGAGACTGTGACACCGTCAAACCCAAACGCAGGCCCCTCCTCACCGTGACGTACAGTTCTGTCAGTTTGGTAGTGGAGTTTTCTCGTGGGGAATATATCGTCGACAGCCGCATTAGAGAATATGATTTTCAATCTTCAGCAGTTTGAATTTGTTCCGGGAGCAGAAGAGGAGCTCGTGAAATCGTGTTTACTCTCATATGGGCTTTAAGTCAAACTTCTGCTTCTACAGTCTTATACATCTGCCCTTAAAACAACCTTAGTGCCATATGTACAGTAAGGAGTAGGATTACAATACTGGTGTATTCCAATTATTTTTCATGTTATCTGAAATGCATTTACTGTTGAATTTATATAATTTTTCTTTTTTCAATGGATCATAGTGCAAATATTGAATCTTCATATCTTGATGAGTGGCTAAAATAGTCCAAAAATACAGGAACTCAGTCTCTACGGCGGGACATTGGAAATAGTCACAGAAATTCTACCTGTGTTTAAGATGACAACGTTAGCTATTAGGAGGCCTTCACTACAGACTACCTACACTACAACATGGTCTCCAAGAAAACCACTGGTACTTTACATTTCTGCAAATCAATGGCGACTGCTGCATAACCTCAT